TATTCAAAATAATAAAAATAAATCGAATTTTGATGGGTACATTTTTAATACCAATTGATTTCGATCAACTTTCGGTAGATTTTTATTATTATTTTTAATCGAAATAAACTAAAGACTAAAATAACTAATTATATACTCATATTATAATTCATTTATTTTTTGATATTTTTTCTGCAATTTCCCGGATTATATTATTGGATCCATTGTCATCCTTTCATCAGAAAAAGGAAAAATAAGAAAAAAAAAACAATTGGTACCTATAATTAATATTATAAAACGACATATTGTAATTGTATTGTCTATGCATAATATTCTTGTGTTTTTTTTTTTTATCAGTTGGTATTTGTAATATTTTATATAATAATTATCTTTATCTGATGATGATTTTTTTTGTCGGAACCGGTTGCCGTTGTAGTATAGGTACCTACGGTATTAAATAAAAAACTACATTTTATTTTACGTATATTCAACTTACCAAGGCTACATAATATGCATATATTTTTCTTTATATTTTGTACAATACATACATTTAGATTGACATTTTGTATTATTGTTAAATACTTAATTATGTTCTATGTTCTCTCTTTATTTTTTAACCTGTATTCACTAGAATTTACTTAACCAATATTATTTTATCATACTTCTTAGTTTTATTCATAATAATTTTATTTTTTGTTGATTTTTGTTAAATCGTTACTCGAATATGCATAACTTACTATTATTATTGGTTTAATACTGTACTATCACTATGAACCCCCACCTCCGCACTGCCAGTGACTTGGAAGTGACCAACTTCTGGTATTTTAATTATCATCATTCATTTTTTATGGTAAACTATTAGTTGAAAAGTAAATAAATAAACAATAGATTCGAAATTTGATTTTACCTTTTATTTCACATTTTTAGAACATTTATAATTCATCTAATCGAACACATTTGTTTTTAGATTTATACACACTCTTGAACAAAATAGGTACAATAGTAATTATTGTATTATTATGTATTATTGATCTTAAGTAAAAAAAAAATCACGATAACACTTCTTTTATTAAAACTGCAGAACGATGAGTATTTACCCGAAAATATTTTATTTATTTACCATTATTTGGCGTGAGGGATATGCGGATTATTAGTATAGTCGACCGGGTCCACTTGAGCCGTGGTATACGTTTTCAGTAAAAGACGAGTGTAGGGGAAAAATAAATAACGACAGCTGTCGTATATATATAAATATATAGTGAATTATTTGCCCAGTACTTACCTATATTATAAAGGCCACTACGACGAAAATATCTCGAGTATTTCTTCAGAAAAAAAAAATATATATAAAATGCAAATCTAATAGGAATAAAAGAAAAAGGAACCCTATAACCGCGATCTGACAGGTATTGCGCATAAAAGTATACCTATTGTATAAGTATGTCTGTGATGTATATACATATTATAATGCACTAATCCACGAGTCACGTTTATAATATGGTACCTACAATGGCGTAGCTAAAATTTTTTGATCGCGCAGGGGTGTAGGGTTTAAGTCTATACAATAGATATACATAAAACATATTTATTTTTTTATTTTATTATACTTTATTTAAAATATTTGAAAAGTCAAACATTTTAATTTTAATTACACTAAATGAACCGTAGTTTTCTTGTTTTTATCGCTAATTTATTTAGGACATCATCAGGGTCTATCATTATATCACTGTGTATATTCCTCATTATCAAACCATTCGATCTAATTTCATACGTGATATTTTACAATTATGTTTTAATCTTTTGAATGTTGAAAAAGATCGTTCATTGCTAGCAATTGTAATTGGGAGTTGCTAAAATCTGTAGAAATTTGAAAGTAGAAGGGAAAATTAATGTATTATATTTTTTATGAGCTTCGATAGCATTTTTTTTAGTAAATTTGGAGGTCCTGAACATTTTTGTTGTTACATTTGAATTTCACTCATAGCTGTTAACACATTAATAACATTAAAAAAATTATAATATTGACGTATACGTTTAACATTGCAATCATTTTATTATCTCAGTGATAAATATAATTAGAAAATAAATAGCAAGTAATTGAAACTTTAAAAGATAAAAAAAAAAAAAACAATAATAACTGTAAACGTCTTTGAGAATTTACACAATATCTATTTGTTTTTTTTAGTTGAATCCTGGAAAAAAAACCAAAATGATAATATAATCAGAGAATTAGTATAATCACATAATATAGATGTTGATAATAGATAGATGTTTCTCAATATAAAAATTGTATACATCATATATTTTTTTAATATAATATAATAGACCATTTAAAATTAATAAATAATTTTATTAAATTTGGTATCAAAGGTCCAACCTACGACTTATTAAGCTCGTATTTAAAAAATAGGAAATAAAGAATTCGAATAAATAATTCTTCAAGTCTAGGAACACTATCAATGTGTGAAGTACTTCAAGGTATTAACCTCTCTTCTACCTTATTTAATATTCAAATTAATCAAATAAACGATCTAAAGATACATGGTAAACAGTCTGTTATTCCGATGACACTGTTCTTTTTGCTGATCAATACAAGATGACCTGAGGAAAATTAGTAATTGGTTATGTGCAAATAACATATTCTTAAATTAAGAATTAAAAATTAAAACAATTATGTTTAAATTATAAAAATGATACAAATAAAGATATATCAACATTTTTTAAATCGATTGCTTATACATTTAGATACCGTTAACATTACTTTTTAATAATTTTTTTATATTTAAATTAATTTTTATTAGGTATACATTTATTATTTATTTATTTTTTCAATTAGCAATTTTAGCATTTTAAACTTCATAACATAATATTGATGACACAGCAAATAGACTGATAATTATATTTATTTATTATTCATATTATATTGATTATATTATTACCATTTTAGTATTTTTTCCGTATACCTTTAAGTGACATATTTTATCATGACTTCATGACGAATAATTTATTAATTTAATAAATAATAAGAACAATAATGGTTTCCAAATTTCAGTATCTACTACTGATTTCATTAATTTGATTAGTTTTATTATTTTTAACTAACCTTAGTTATAGGTACCTTTTATTTTTTTCTGTAAACAAGTTTATTACTATTTACTATCGGTCACCAGAAGACTTCCTCCATACAAATACTTCATAGAAGTTTTCATGTTCGTTCTGAATATATAGTTGATGCGTCCGGTAATAGGGGAAGTAATTTTTCAATAATTCTTGTATTTACCTTATTAATGGGGGAAAAAAACAGAGAAGGGAACTTCGGTAAAACGATAAAATATTACGCCGCCGGTTATAGTGAAAACTCAGTCAATTTTTGTTGTAATCTGTAATTCATTAAGCAATAATAATCATATAGTATGACTTGTTTATCAAATACCTATACTTTACTTATGTTTATATTTTTTCGACTGGTATAAGTTTAAATGAAAAAAATTGCACGATGGTGAATTCCAAATTCTAGCAGAAAACTGGTGGGCTTAGCATAAACAGGGAACTTTTGTTAAACAGAAGATTGGAAAGAACTCTTTAGGGAAAACGTTTTTGTAGAAACTAAAGTTAATGTTGAGACGATTTTGTATTTTTGTAAAATAGGACCAAATGTCCCGAGGCAATGAGCCGGAAACCCAACACAGAGAACAATGTAAGGAACGTCAGGAGTTGTATTTAGTGAGTCTTTTTGAATTATTTAAGTAAGTACGTATATCTGTTTGAAGTTTTTTTCGACTCGTATTTAAAAAAATCGTTTCGCCAAATATAGATACAAGTGCTCGAAAGTTTCTTAATAAGTAGTTTTTACTGGTCATAATGTTTTGTTTGGATAAATTGTAAATTACGAGTATATTGTACAAGTACTAAGTAGTTTTTAACTATTATAACTTCCCGCAAGCATTGTTTTTTCGGTTGTAATGATTTATCGTTGCATTCAGAATTATATTAACTGTGAATAATTATAGGTACCTTTCTGTATTACACTTACCGTGCGGCGATGTATAAAGCTCTTTTTTTTTTCCCGGGGACTCATTTAGTGTATTATTGTGTACCTACCTACCTGTTTACTTATCTATACCATAGATAACTGCGGGCAACGTTCGTTCGGGGAGATCCAGAGAGAACATTATTATAACGTAATATTATTGTTATTGAGTCTGTACCGAGGCATTAAATATAGTGTACCTGATATAGGTATCTACGTGTATTACTCTCCGGCACACTCGTCGCGGTATTTAAATAAATAATCGGCGGTGGTGGAATTATTTTGAATGAACGCCGTCTCCGCCAACCCCGTCGGTTATCAAAAGGGAAACCGTTGTCGACGCCGCGGGATAAACGGGGACCGGGTCGGCTCACACGGAGACGACTGAAAGTGTTTATATATCTAATAAATTCGTTTTGACGGGCTCAAAATGGCCGTTTTCGCGTATACACGCGAATAATACAGAAATTCCGTCTGCCGACATTATAATACCTATAGGTATCCAATACCGCACAAATATTATTATTATATTCGCGTGTTGAACGGTTGAAATGATTATTGTTTAAGTATAATAATAATATCATAAAGAGCAGGGTGGCGAATATTATTAGACATCATATAATTATTATTATTGTATTATTAACATTATAATATTGTTGTTGGACGCACCGACGGCGACGCATTATATGGTACCGCACCGACCTTGACACCGGAACGCGCGCCGCTTTATTGCGTTTTCTCTTCCATGACGCGCGGACAAAAGAGGAAAACGGCACTATGCGCGCGGCGGCCGCTCGACGACGACGGCGGTCTCTGACTCATGTAAATTATTGATTCGTCGTGGCCGGTGGGAGAGAACGGCGGCCGATGCGGCGGAGGAGTAGTGAGTCCGTCGCCGACGTTCTTGTGTTGTAGCGTCGTGTATATACGAGATTCACGCGCGCGCATGTGTGTGTAAGTGTGTACGTGCGGGTGTGTGTGTGTGTGTGTGTGTGTGTGAGAGTGTGTGTGAGTGTGAGTGTGAGTGTGTGCGCGCGAGTCGAGTTTTTTTCCCATTTCTATGTCAGTATAGTTTCGCAGGTCTCGTTTCTCTGCGTGCGCGTGTTTTCCGTCTCCCGATTTACCGATTTCTGATCGTTCGAAATAATTTTTTTTTTTTTATTCGCGTGTCGCCAAAGGGCTGTTGTCACTTGGCCGCGCTACCCCCGGACCTTATAATAATTATCTATTTTTGTAATTGTATTTTTTAAACGTAAAGTTTGTACGATATTTGTTCCGTGTTATGAGTTTTACAATAAACACGCAACGGTAGTGGTGAACTCCGTCTCGTGCGTTATTTGTCGTAGTTAATATTATTTATCCCCTCAATCGAAACACCGCAGTGCAGCGAAATGTACCGCAGCAAGACGTCACCGTCTTCGACGTTGGCCGTTGTCGCCGCCTTCGTCTTCGCCCTAACGATTGTTTCTTGCAGTGAGACGAACGATGACGGTAAGTTTCGAACATAACAACTGTTTACTTTTACCTTTATAATTTTGTCGCCGTTTTTTATTCCTGATTTTTTTTTCGGCCGCGATCTCTGTAGTCACCGAACGCGTTCCGGTCGGTCGCCCGGAAGTAGGTTCGTTATTGGTTTTGGTTGTAATGGGAGGGGGACATGGAAGCAGGACAAGCAAGAGATTTGGAACAACATTAAACAAGAAGAATAAGTAGATAGGTTAGATACTTGTTAAACGTGATTTACGTCCAATCGTATTTTGGATACATCTGGTTAAGTAGTATCATTAATAATATCGGACAAGCTAACGAATTGTGGTTGTTGTCTAGGCATGTTATCTTTTAACTGATGAATCCAGTGGCTTGTATTTTGGGAATTTTTTTTTGGGGGGGGATATCCAAAATATTCGATTCTATATTTAGGTTCCTATTTATTTATTTAATTTAATTATGTTTGTTTTGTCTAGTCAGAAGCATGAACAATGTTTATATTGTTGTTTATAAAGAACTTAATAAAACAATATATATTAATAGCACCTACTTAGTGATCAAAATAATATTAATTTAAACAAATTAGTTTTTTAAATATATTACTATTGTTATCTAACCTACTATTAATTATTAATCAACAGTTGCTAATCTGTTAAATTTGATTTTTTTTAAGGGTAACTTATTTTATTTATCTGCTGATGGGCACCTAAATAGGGACGTAGCTGAATTATCTACTTACATTTTTCATTTATACATTACTTATCTATCTATTATAAATATAATTGGTAACTTAATTGGTAGGTCTGTAAGATTAAAGACAGGTATAACAATGAAGAATTGTTAGTTATGTAGGTATACATTAGTAAATTTTTTGAATTGGCTATACCTAGATACCTAGTATCTAGTCTCATTTTTTTTTTATTATTTAGGGTTGGGTTTACCCATAAGACTCTTCTACACACCAATGGCTGAGTAATCAGTTGAATTAAATTACTCACTGCTATTTTGTTATAAATATCTACCTAATTTGTTTTCAATTCACTCACTATGATGCAATACTGTTCACTGAGAACATAATATTATAGACATTGTTTATATCTCCACATAATGTCTTTGTCTTTCAAGTACGTATTATGCGCTGATTGACCAATGATGATAATCGTATAAGTACTGCCATTATTCATTTCGTTTGACGATAAAATCATAAATTGTATAATAGGTTTTTTCTTAATCTGGTGAGTTTTAGATATAGGTATCTAGCCCGATGCTTTGAATAATGTATTGATAAAATATTTTCCTATGCTATTTTCTCAAGATGGATACTGTCTTTGTTTTTCTAACAGTTTTGTAATCCGTCTACATATTTATTTTGCTTTAGTGTCTATTATTGATAACATACCTAGCTACGTGTAAAAATTTAATTACTTATCTTTAATGTGTAGACATATTTTTGCCTATTTTAGTTTCTAATCTTATTTATCTACTTATTTAATTAGGTTGAAAAAATTTTTAAAAAAATACCTCTAGGTATACTTAGATATGTAATTTTTAATTACCTATATTATTCCTATTTTTGTATTTAATTTAAATTTTTTACAATAAATCTGACAATACAAATGTCCTAAAAACAGTAATAAACTGTAAAATAATACTTCATTATCTACATAGGTAATATGAGAAAAATAAAATTGGGTTCAAATTACAAAGCTAAAGAATAGTTTTATGTAATTTAACAACGCGAACAACAGCATTTATCTTTTAACAATATAAAATCATGTTTAAAATTTAATCATACTTCAAATATCTAGTTAACCTAACTTAATACCTCTATACCTACCTATCTATTTACACCTAGGTACACACACAGTAATTATATTTTATCATGAAACATTTATTTTAACTTAAGACTTAATTCTCCTTATATGCAGCCCAACTTCTTTATATCAATTTTGATGTAGGTATATTTTATTAATAATTAAAGATAGGTAGGTACTTGAGGTTGTATTACCTAGTAATTATAATATATTCCTTTTACCTTTTTTTTAACTGTTTATGAATTTGGCTAATATCAATTAGTCATAAATTTCAATGTCTCAATAAGTTTTTAAAAACTTAAGCCCCACTAGCTTAGGTTCAAAAGTCTTATTTTTTAAGTAGGTTTTGAGTCTTCTTAACGTTGAAAAGCTTTGTTAAACAGTGTCGGTCTGGCACACCCAGGTACCCAGAAATCGCCGAGGCCCTAAGATTTATTCTTAAAAAAGTGGCCCTATGGGATAACACCAATAGCAGAAAGTATATTAATTATTTTTTAATTTATTTGTGTACATATGAAAAAAAAAGAAAAAAGACTGACATACTTCATACGATGAGCAGGCTACTTTTGTATATGAGAAGTTGGAAAGATAAAATATAAAGAGGAATTTAATGTATATCTGTATGCAACAATTAAAAATTGCTAACAAAAAACGAATCTTAACGAAGCTCTGTTAATTTTATTGCTTTTTCAACAATATATGTCATTATAGTAAAATAAATATTTATTTAAACATTTTTTATGAGTCAGTAATTATAGATTAGTTCTACATAATTTTTACTAAAAGATTTTCATCAAAACTAAATTTGATATTAAATTTTTTATAAAGTTATGATTATTATTATAAAAAGTCTTATGTCGAGTACTTTTTATGTAATTTATTTTAAACAGTTGATAAAGTTAAAGAAAAAAATAGATTTTACCAAATAATTAACATATTGTTGCAATTTGACTCAGAAAAGTACCTAATCGTGATAAAATATGTACATTGGAAACTAAATTAACTTGATCTATACATGGTATATATGAGCATTGTTGTGATGTACACCTCTTTCAGTATTTTAACCAAATTTAGTATATCAACTCGACAGGCTTAATACATACATGTGGTTTCATTATAGAATGAAAAAAAAAAGTAAAACAATGAAATTAGTGTAAATCTAATTTATATTATTAATATTTCTAGAAGTCAAAAAATTTCTCACAGCTAGAAAAAATTGGTTTTCTTTTTTAGTTGATAGTTATCGAATTTGACTTTTATATTTTGTTGTTTAGCGGCCCATTGATAATAATTTCCCATGGGCCCAATCGTGAGCCAGACCGACTGGTATTCAACTATAACAGTGGATATTGGAATTACATCTCCCCCGGCAGCAACCTAGTATTTTTAGTGTTCAATACAAATTTAAGAATATTATCAAGATGGAATATAGATATAGGTATACTGTATTATGGTTTAATCGTTCAATTAAATAGGACAAAAATAACACCCTTTGTTGACATAATTATCATTTAGTAACTTCAAATAGATAAATAGGTACTGCTCTTTAAAGTTATTTACATACAGATCACTGGTCTCGAGAGTAATCTAAAATTGATTATATTTAAATTTAATACATTATAAAAATGATTATATTATTATACACCCATTACCTATTACATTATATTATTTAATAATTTACCAGTTTTACCTCAAAATGATATTTTCATTTAGCTCCCAGTTGTCTGTTGACTATCTATGTCACGAAAGTAACCTTTTGTAAGTAATACCTAGTAATAATACTTTTTAATTTTAATTTTTTAATATTTTATAAAATATATTCATATTTTCTGTAATATATTTTTAATAATATTTTGTGTAACATTCTTTTTTATAAATATCTATTTAATAAAATGTGTTTCCATAATTATAAAATTTATTTTTTTGTTTACCATCATTAGATCACTTATAAGACCAGTGAGTAAAAAGTATATTACATATGATTGTAGATAACTTATGAAACCTTAAAAACATAATATGAAACATAATATGAAAAACTTGAAACTGATAATTTTTAAAACAACAATATTTAATTATATACTATAGAGAATAGGTAGACATTATAACATATCCTGGAGTTTCTGGAGGATGGCTAACAGAACTTCAGCCCACATAATAAATACCCTCTTAATACTATATTTTATAAAATTGTTAAGTACCTACCTATATCTACATTGTACATGATAAAATAATAGGTACCTCATTAAAAAAAGTATGTATATATTTTAATTAAGTAGGTTTTACTCTGGGTTTTACTGTTGGTGAAAAAACAAATAAGTACACTAATGAACTAATAAATTAGTGTCAATTTGAATAATGAATAGTACCTAAGATGAATAGTATTGACCAAACAATGTACTTTTTTCTCAATGCCAGTAATTATAGTTAAATTTTCTTTATTTTTAATTACAAGTAAAACAACTTTAGAGTAGATACCTAGGTATGGAAATATTACCAACACTGTTTTTATATAAATGTAGCTACATAGGTTCATAAATATTTATATACAATTTGATAAAATGTTTATAAGTTTATAAGTTTATTTAAATTATATATAGATAGATTTAATACTAAAGCAAGTAGACAATAGGTACTTTTATTAAGGAATGAAGCCAGAATTAAAAATTGTTACCAATATTTTTGTACATAGTACCAAGTATGGTAAAGCTTTGGATAAAGACACCAGTGTATGTCATTTAACCATAAATTCTATAATAAGGCTACAATATTATATTTGATCTTGAAGATCTTGCTGTGTTGAATAATACATTTTACATCTTTCATAATGAAATCATGTAAGTACCTATTACCATTGATTAAATATACAATATATTTATTTAATCAATGATATTACATAGAAAATCTACCAGTGTGCTTATGTAACAGATAAATCTTATGACTTGAAGTTTGTTGATGTTTGATTTGTGTTATCATTTCTATAATGCCTTGGCTTGGGTTGGGCCCTGTTAGGTCTAGTTGTGACAACTAGAAAATTAAAATTAATGTTTTTTTTTTTGTTCTCTGAGGTTTTTATATTTTATTTGTTAGTATGATAATATTTACTGGTGTCTCTATCCTAGTATTAGTATCAAAAATAATTTGCTTATAACTGTTATATTAGAAATTTAATTTTTGAATATGCATGTTAAAATTATTTTTTCTTTTAAAGTAAAACAGTAGTAGGTAAGTTAACAAGGAAATATCTAAGTAGGTAGATAATAAAGGACCAATTGTTTTTGAGTAATGTATAATCAAATTCATGGCACACAGACAATTTTATAATAGGTGTGCAATAAATAATAAGAATAGTCTAAAAACATAATATTATGTCTGACTTTAAATTTCTATTTTTATATGGGGGTTTTATTTAAATACATTATTTCAAATTATTATTAAATGTGTATAATGTGTATTTAATCATAATGTGTAAGTTTAAACTAATGTTATTATATTAAGTTCTTAAGGTTATTTGGTTGTTAAGGATAATCTATTCAAATTATATTTATATTAATTCAGTTAGATGTGTGGGCTCTGCTATTATTAATTAAAAGCCTTTTTCTTTTATATAAAAAGTGTAAATCAATACTTATCTACACATTACTCATAGGCATTAATAAATAATGACAATTTAAGTAACATGACTAACGGGATGACTAATTTACCTACTTATTTATATGTTATTTATTCTTGTAAATTAGTAATTTTTGGTAGGTACCTAACTAAATAAATAAAAAAAGGCAATGGCATTAATCTTTATGTTAAGGTTGGGCTTTTTTTTTAAAAAAAAATTAAGCATAGGGCCACTTCATTTTGGGGCAAAGTTGGAAAGTTGGTTACCAAATCATATGAAAAATTACAATGCAGAAAAAACGTCAAATGTATTTTACTTAAAAATCATAAACATTAGTTTTAAGTCAATTAAGGTCAATAATAATAAATCATAAATAATATATACTATATGCTATAGCTAATAAAAAAATTGGTATATTTTTTTCTCACTTAAATATTCTTTATATAATGTTGGTTCAAATACTATCACTAATTAAAAATAATATATTTAGCTTCCCCAACAAAAAAAAAAAAAAAAACATCCAGTGGGTAAATAGTCATTTCAGGGCAGTTATTTGGTCTGGGGTTATCATTAATTAGTCATTAATATTTATTATTTTTAAGTAAAATACATTTGACATTTTTTACCTTTGTCGGTTTTTACCGTTTTGTTTTTTGCTGATTGCCCAAATGAATAATTCATTACAAAAATAAAAAACTACACTAAACATAATTTTGGAAATAAAGGGGAGGTTGTGCATTGAGAAGGGAATTTTTTGATTTTCCTTAAAAATTGCTATTTATAGTCATTGGAAATTGTCAAGTTATAGGCTTCTAAACACCTTATATCCCCATTATTTTTGTCTGTTCATCCGAGTTACTAGTATGTAGTTGTGTTTGTTGATTTACTTGATAAGGAACTATATATTATTTCTTGTATTATTCATAATATTATTCTTATTCACGTTATTGTTATTATTATAAATTTAAATAATATGAGTACTAATTATAAATTTATAATATTAAAAATTAAGTAACAAAATACAAGTAGGTGCCTACTTACTAGGGTTATTTTTTAAAGAATTTTTAAAATGTCTTGTCAACTATTAACAAATTACGATTTTTAATTTTCTTAAATTTTTATTTATAAACATAATATACTAGGTTACCAAATTCCTTTCAAACTTATGGAATTCCCCCGGGTGTGTTGGTTTTGTTTAAAATATGTTTGGCAGTCAAAAACTTTGCATCTTTGGAAGTAAGCTTTCCTAACTTGATTAATTTCTGTTTAGTTTAGTTCCCTCTTAAGTTTTATGTAGATACCCTGGTAGATACAATTGTTTTACCTTGGCAAAAATGTAAAACTTTAACATAAGGTGAAGAATAGGCTGTACATTTTCGATATTATTGAAGGGAGGAAGTTAGTAAGTTTCAATTTTATTTTTAGTAAAATCACTGCATTTTTAGTCATATTTAACCGAGTTTCTTAGAATGGTTTTTTCATTAACAATGATTTATTTTTTTCATTTTTCTTGCTAATTTTTCTCCAACAATATTGATACACCCATCAGCAGTATTGTTTTTTTTTTTTTTTAAATTGCATTCAACATTCTTGTTCAATTTATTCAGAAAGATAAATTTGACCCTTTTTTCAAGTAACTAAAATACAAAATGTAAGCAGTTAATTTTAAATAGGACATGTTAAACAAAAAAGTAAGAAGAGATTTTAACTAGGATCAAAATTAAAATTTAAACTGTCTATTTTTTTCTTTCAGGTAATTTATTTTGTTTTCAAAATAAAATTTAAATTACTCCCAGGCATACTACTTAGCTACTTTATCATAATTATTTATTATAAATATAAAATATTTATATTTTATTTGCTTTTATTTTTTTCAGAAATTTTACCTAAATTGGTAATTGATGATCAGCTAAGGGGATATCATGGTTTGGTAAAAGAAAATGAAACACTTGTTGAAGTTACTCCTGAAATTTATGCCATTGGTGACGTTTGTAATTTTAACATTGTTAATAAACATCATGGAGAAGCTCCTTTTGAGGTAAATCAATTGTATTTGTTTATTGTTACTAATTAGTTATCATTTATATAGATATGTAGGAAATTAATCCTTCAATGTGTAATTATTTTACCATAATATGGCATATACAGGTGTATCTGAACTATTTGATATTTTTACATTGTAAATATTTACATCTAAAAATATCAAATATTCCTGTTACATCCTGTATATTGTTGACAAAGCATCACTATCAACTGAATTCCGCTAAAAATCGGTTTTAGTAAGCAATAGTTTATTGTTGTTGACAGATATAAATTAAATTCCCATCTGTATCCTACCTTCCCAACTTCCTATTTACAACAGGAGCTGTACCCATGTGCGAAGTATGCCTGTATTATTAATCCCTATCTTATTTTTAATTTGTATTATTCAAAATCTTAAAGTCTAATGCAACATGACATATGCAACAACATTACATGTCCATATTGTCAATAAGGACCTTTATTTTTATTTATAAATAGCCCCATTTCTATTAATGTTTAATTTAAATAAATAATTAAGATTATATCAACCACTAATAGATTTTATTTTTTAGGCATGGTCCATGTCATAAATATAAATAATTTGAGGCAATAATTAAATCTATTAAAAAAATATGCACATTTGTTAATTCTTACTGTTTATTGTAATACTATTATTTTTACCATTAAAGTATTTGTAATATAAAAACGTGTTAAGCTTTTTAGATGTTAAAATTAATAATTTGTTAAAATAGTTAATTTATTATTATTTATTAATATTTTTAATAATAAATACTTATGCAGTCAACAATTTAGAAACATATATTGCTACTATTATTTTAGTTAAATGTCTTCAAATTAATTTGATTTGCAGATTATTCTTCGTCCAAATGGGTATGCTGAACTTAGAGCTCGTAAAACTCTAAATTGTGAAAAACGTAAAACATATAAATTTGAAATTGCTGCAGTTTCATGCTCTGGCTTGATATCTGAGAAGTACGTCTTGAGTTTTGTTATTTATTATTATTTTAATTAATGTTAAAATTTATTATTAATACTTATATATGTTTGATTTTAATTAATTTTTTAAAAATCATATAGTGTTACTGTGCATATCACTGTTATTGACATCAATGAATATGTTCCATTATTCTTGGATGCGTCATATGTCAGTGAAGTTGATGAAGGGCGGTTATATGAAGAGATAGTACGAGTAGAAGCCACAGATCGTGACTGTACTCCACGTTTTGGCGACATCTGCAAATACGATATTCTTAATGATGATCAACCTTTCACTATTAATAATGAAGGTAGGTTCCAATATTAAGTTAATTTATAATAATTTATGTAATTTATATTTAGTAAGTTTAAATCTTATCTTTTTTTTTTTTTTTAGGAAGTATTAGAAACACTGAACCATTAGATTATGATCGCAGTCACAATTATATATTATCAGTTGTTGCTTATGACTGTGGCATGAAAGAATCGGCTCCCGTTATGGTAACCATTAAGGTTAATCGTATTTGCAAACTAGGCTGGAAAGGTATGTATTTATTAATTATTCACAAATTAAGTTTTTATTTATAATATTTATTTTCGAAATAAAACTTTTTCAGTGGTTTTAATGTTTTTAAACAATTTCTATTTTAATCATTTTTAAATCCAAAATTCATCATCTACCTTCCTGTGAAACTGAACCTTGTCTTTCCTCTTTTCTTTCGCACTCTTCTCGACGTTTTTAAAATTTATACTAAAAAGTTTCATTTTTACAGTGTGCTTGTCACTTTTAGTTTTTAAAAAATAAAAATAAAAAAATTTCTAGGTGTCCCAGAAGAAATCAATTATTTCCCTACATCAGGCCGTAAAGATTTGTTCCCTAATGCGCAACTAAGACTATGTGAAGATCCGTGTCATGTAAAAAGTGTTAATGCGAAACTTACTCTTGCAACTTCACACATTGGCAAAGGTTGTGACCGTGATACCTACTCGGTTCAAAGTCAAAGGAAACTTTGTGGTAAATATAATATGCCCAAATTTTAAAATTTAGATTTTCATTTGAAGCGTCTAATTTATATTTTACTGCACAGGAGCTAGTAAAGAAAGTGTGGAACTTTTGCCTGCTAATCATGTACCCTTATCTGCTGGAAATGCAATTAAACATGATGAAGGTCATGAATCTGATCAGATGTACGAGTTTGATGGCAGTAGTACATCCGTAGCTATACCCAACGATGTTCTCGACCATGGACTTTCATCAGCATTCACTATTTCAACTTGGATGAAACATAAACCCATGCCACGTCAAGACAAGCACATTAAAGAACACATTTTATGTTCGGCTGATGACCACAGTATGTTGTGTTTTTGTTATCAATGTTTAATTTTTGATTGAATAGAAATTATATTATTTTTATCCTATACATTTCTTTTGTTTATTAGAAATGAATCGTCATCATTATGCTTGGTTTGTAAGAAACTGTCGTCTTATATTGCTTTTGAGACGTGATTTTTCACAAGGAGATCTTAACATCTTTAGACCAGCAGAATGGAGATGGAAAATTCCACAAGTATTATACAAACAAATACTAATTTTGATCGGGTTTAATTTTGGTGATTAATTGTATTTCAGGTATGCGATAATGAATGGCATCACTATGCTGTATCTGTTCAATTTCCAAATATTCAATTATTTGTTGATGGAGTTTTATTTAAATCTGAAACCAAAAATCCTGAAGTTATTGATGATTGGCCTTTACATCCAACCAAGGGTATAAATACAACTTTAACTGTTGGAGCATGTTGGCAAGGTACAAAACTATTTCTTTTTTAATTTCAGTATGGGTTATAGAATAAATTTACAATATACTTTTTACTGTTTTAGGCTCTGAAAATAAAATGAAACATCATCTACGGGGTTACCTGGCTGGATTGTCAGTTCTGTTACATCAACTTGAAAAACCCGAGGTACTAGCATGTTTACACAAATGTAAAGAAAGCTTAGAAGTACCTGCAATGGAGTTGTTAGAACCCGGAATGGAATTGCTTACCAACAGTGGTTGGTTTTGTATAATTAAATATTATAGTTAATAACAGTAACTATACCAAATAATTTAAAATTTAGAATCTAAAAATGAATTCCTTTTATTAGACAAATTTTAAATTTCAACTATATTGCTTTGACAACTGCTTATTATATTGTTTTCTTTTACATATAATACTAGGAGAGTCTTATATTGTTAAATGGAAAATTAATTTTGGTCTTAAAATATATAAAATATTTGGTTAGAGATTGAATATTACTATTTTGAAAACCGGGCAAAGTTGATATTTTATATTATATTTTGTTCTTTCTTTAGAATTGACTGAATTATCAATAGAAGGTGATAATAAGACAAATCTAGAAGTATTGGTGAGAAAAATTGGTTATTCTAACAGCCGTGATTATCCAACTCCTGGTAGACGTAATCTTCACTTAACCACTACTCTAATGTAAGCTTAAACTTCTTGAAACTTTGTATTAACATTATTTTGCATTGTTTAATTTTTTTTTAATTAAAGGTGTGATGGTGGTCGAGAAGTTAAAATGCCTTCTGCTGAAAGTTATGTAATGGTTCACAGACCTCAACAACCTAATATCATCATCAATGGTACCAATACAGTCCCCAGGGAATACCATGAATTTAGACAAGGGGTACAAGTTTTCCCCGATCTTGCTGTTAGCATTGAACCAGAGAGTTATGATTACGAATCCAAAAATCGTAAATACTAAATTTAAATAGTTTATGTATTTAATACGATTACTTGTAATATTTATTATTTTATAGCTGAATTGACCAATGTATTAGAACGTCGAGTCGATTCATGTATAATATCTGTTTACCCTTCACTGAATCCTGATCACGAGACAATTACTATTCCAGCCGATATGCTTGCTAAATTTGGTATTTCAGCTAAAGTTTCCAAGGATGGTGTTGCTTTCTATAATGCAGACATTGTATTCCATTACCAAGAGGCTTTACGTGATGTTCATTATACTAACTTTAAGCCTGCATACTACTTGAACCGTCAGTTTAAATTGGTGTGTTCTGAAATGAATGGCCGATTTTTGAGCAATGAATACATACAAACTGTAGGTTTAAATTGATAAAAATAAGATATTTTTCTTTTATATTATTTTTTTTCTGATATATTAGTTGACTGTGGTTCATCCAAAAACTCCATCTACTGCTTTTGTTTCTACCACAACACTTCCAACATCTGCTCCACCAGCTGCTTCGTTAGTTGACGAGAACAATGCTGTTCCACAACCGGCTCACGCTCAAGTACTTCAACATTCCGTGGAAGCAAAACAAGCACAAACCATAATTGGAAATTATATGGAGGGACCCTCCGCAGAACAGGCACGTGCCATGGTTGCTGGTGGTGGACACGCTGTTACCATTATCATTGTGGTGTGCGTTGGATTTTTAGTTTTAATGATTACTTTGGGCATTGTTCGTATCAAGGCTGCCCATCAGAAGGCCTCACAGGATGAAGTCCAAGACACAGAGATGGCTTGGGATGACTCAGCTCTTAACATTACCATCAATCCTATGGAGGTAAGATTTTTGTTGTCACCATCTATCAATTTTCTTTTATCATTAATTAAATTATAATAATTTACGCCACCTCATTACTTTTAGCAATTGGAATGTGATGGTAATGCTTCGGCAGAAGGAGGAGCGTTGTCAGTTGGCAAACACAAGCATGGTGATAACGATGACGATTCGTCTGATGACAACATGAGCTACGACTATGATGATAGTTCAGATGACGGTGTTGGCAACGAAGAAGATGATGGCCTGCATAGAGGCGGTGCACCTCCCTTAGAATGGGATCATTCTGTCATGTGTATCTAAGTTGTGTTTTATTATCACAAAATTATACGCACTAAAAACGACTTGCAGCACCTAACCTTTTATGGGTTACATGGTGATTCTATTTTTAATACTAAACATAAATCACTCTTTTTTTGCATATCTTTTTCAAAAACGCTTGACTAACGCGCTGTAGACTATTTGAACTTTGTTCTTAGACAAAATAAAAACAAATTATATAAGAGTGGGGCATTGTTGGAGGTCGATCAGACGTGTATTTAACTTATTATTACTGTCCTCAAGTTCAAACCATCTACATTATTATTTGTTTGCACTGATAAATTTATATTATATATATATATATACATGTATACAAACATAAAAAATGTATAATAATTTTGACATTGTTACCGCGCAACATTATTATTTTCATCAAATTTTAGCTAGGTTAAAAATTTTGTTTTTTTAATTTTTTTTAGACATAATATCTCAAATTGATATTTTTGTTTGTATTATTTTTTAGTACCAACTCCCCACTCTTCCCTAGTAAAGTGTACGCATCAATTATATTTATATATATATACACACACATACACATACATACATCTATAAAAAAAGAGTATAAAAGAAATTGGAGAAGACTGTAAATAATGTAAAAAAAATTTTAAAAAGGCTAACATTTGCATTTTTAATGTGCCATTAATTTAATCAATATATATATTACATTATGTTTAGTTTAGTTCTGGTAGTTTATAAATTACTATCATTTTTTCGAACATTGCCTTGTTTTCACACCATAATTCCTCCCAAATTGCACTCGCTTGTCGTATTTTCAACAGTCGAGCAGCCATTGTCTTGCCGTATTCATGTTTCCATTTATATATTTGATACCGTCCATATAGGTTTCCTCTTGAATATTTATTTTTTAAATGACTGCATTTTGCAGTTTAGTATTATTGGTTGTGCAATAAAGTACTTAATATATTATATTATAATTACAATAATAACAAATTTAACAAAATTATTTGTGCACCTTGTTAATTTGTCATTTTTTTTTTTGTATAATCTTATTCATACAATAATAATATGACAAATGTTAATTCGGTGAATATTTATAAATTGTCTTACTATTGAACAACAACTTTCACCCATTATTTAGACTATATTATATAGTAAGTTAAAAAAAATGAACATATTCATATTTATTAATTATTATTATATTATGATTTATATTGTTATATATACAAATTGTATGTTTATCTTAATTTTTATTTGAAACATAACCAATAAATTATTAACAAACTATATTATACTGAATAAAAATGAAAAATAAATTATCATTACCTTTAAACACATCATTTAAAACCTAAATAATAATAATATTATAATAAATGAATTAAAAAGTATATAAGATTATTTTTATGTAAATTTAGAGTAAATTGTAAGATTATTATACACGTAAATTTTAAAAAGTATTAATTTATGTAACATCTTGCTTTGGTATGTCATATATAAGTATAATATATTATATTAACTAATTAGGGTGTAGGTAGTAATCGGTGGTATTATATTATAATATTATTATCTTTTAATCATTTTTATTTAATAGTAAAAAAAATGTATTATTATTTTTATCCCTCGGTACTAATGGATTATTAGTCAAATTGTGTAATTTAATTTTTTCCCAATTTAAAACTGCAAAAATAATATGTGCAATAATTTTTGTTGGACTTGAGTTTTCAATGTTGTGTGTTTTCTATAGATATTACATTGCAATGTAACTTTATTTTTGTTTCTCTGCTAATCTAATAAAACACCTACACCTGTTATGTTGATCTTAGTTTGTATATTATTGTTATTTACCATCACTATTCATTAATTTTACTTTTTATTTTTTTTAACCTAAATAATATCATAGCAGAATACCAAAAGAGTTTTTTTCAACAAAATCATTTTTTAAATATTTTATTAATATCGGTACATATTATTTAAAACTGACAAACGGTGTATTTTTGGAAAACTTAGTCAGTACTGTTAGGCTATACGAATATGTTAATATTTTTATAAAATAGTCAGCTGACGATTTAGATTAGCATTGAAGGGTTCTACTATTTTTGCATTTTCAAATAATGTATACCTTTTTTCCTATTGTAAAATCAACTATTTATTTTTAGGATCTATTGTTTAAAAGTAGCTGGTTGGTACGTATGAATGATATGTTTGAATTTCAAATTGATATCGTTTGGTTTAGAAGTTACGACTCCTTTAACAAATAGCCAGAGTTGCCACATTAATAAGGCTCTATTGGACCTTTGGGTCCAATAGAACCCTGAACACTTTTGAGCGTACTAATATAAACACTTTGTTCTGTAAAGCATATAAATTTACTGATTGTATCGAAGCTGTAAAATTAAATTGGTAAATTGCAATAATTTGATTAATTTACTCAATTTTCATATTAAATTAAAAATTGAGTTATGATGTTTGAGCAAATCTAATGATATTCTCCATATTGTTATAATATTTTTCTATTTAACAAAATAAATTAATATCAATAACTGAGCATAATAGAATACATTTTTTTACGCCTGTGTTGCAATTTACTTAATGGGTTATTAGCTTTTTAAAATTATTTGATTGGCCATTTATTTCAGTCACAAATTAAGAAGAGGTGTTCACAAATCCATACCATTAAAGAGAAAAACTATTTTTTTTAGTATACGCCATGAAAAAATTGGACTGTTTTTACAAACTAAGTGTTTCCGAAAAAAAACACCTTGTTAAAATTAATTGTTTCTTCAGTATACCTATAATCTAAAATTAGATAGTTAATCAAATTTAGTAATTTTATTATTTCGGTTTTAATGTAAACTTATGCACTCTTATAAGTTCATTATTATTTATATTAGTATAATAATTACCATACTGTGATCGTTCATCTAATCAAGTCATACATCTGAACACCATTCTAGATAAGCTTGAGAAATGTGAAATAGAACACCTTATACATGCTGAAGATAATTATCTTCTGATTGAAGGCTTTATTACTTAATAACAAACATAGATCACTGACGTCTAATACAATAAACAGTGATACTGAGACTGACCAACATCCAAGCCCGGATTAATAAATTTAGATGCCTTAGACCAAACTTTTCAATGAACTCTTTAAAATATATAAAAAAAAAAATTGTTAAACATTATTTCTCAATAAGTCATAACAAAATAAAAACAATACAAAATCAATCGAGTAGTTTCCACTGCAAAGGTCATCAACAAAAAGATATTAAAAGCAATAAAATATCAAAAACAAAGATTAAATGCATACCTACCTAGTTAAAGAACATACACTCTGACAAAAACTGAGGCCTTTGTTGGAGTCTTGTTGCCTCGGGGCTATGACCTGAACACCATTTTAATCCTGGTTCGCAACATCCAAGGCGATCACGTAAGTAGTTAGTCTGTAGGTATTTAATTTGATGTCTAGTTGCTTATAAGAAGACGCCACATCTGCATTTACTGCCTCTTGTAAACGACGACTGCAAATTTGCGTTTAGTAGGACACGTTTTTGTGCCGTTAATTTCAATATTAAAACGAATCGATTTATTAGTGGCCATTGCCAAATTTAAAGGTAGAGATATAGGTTTATCAAATATTACAATTCAAAAATATTATATCTTGTTTAAAAGTTAAAATATCGAGAAAAAAACCACAATGCCAGGACACAGATAATTTTCTCATTTGTTCTTACCTTTCTTTGAGTTTGGTAATTATTAAATTCACTTTAATATTAAAACTAACGACACGCAACTTTCCATACTGAACGCAATTTTGATATATCGCACTTTTGTAAGACGGAGACAGTAAACGTCGGTGTAGCGTCTTCTTGACTTAACAGTAGTTATAAATGTGTGTTTAATTTAATTGATGATTCATCAAATGAAATATGTAGAAATAAGTTTATTAATTAGTAATGTATTATGAAAAAGACTGACATACATCTCATGACGGATGGGCCACTGTTGTAGGTGAAAAGTTGGAACTATAAGATATAGAGGAGGGGAATTTAATTTATATCTGTTAGCAACGATTAATCATTGCTAACGAAAAAGCGATTCTGAGTGGAGTTCAGTTGATAGCGTTGTTTTAGCAACAATATACATGCCATATTATGGTAAAACAATTTCTTAGGCATTATATATTTTCTTTAATGATACATGTTTAATATTGTACTTATTTTCTCGTCTTTCGTTCGGTTTTCCCGGTTTTTCTAATTTGTTGTAAAAACTCCTGGGAAAAATCGAAAAATGACTTCATTAAAGTACCTCCCCGGTTAGATTTCCTTTTCAAAAAAGTGCTAAATTGTAAATTGGAACAAGTTTGCTGGTAGAAAAGTTGTGCACGGATAGACAAATAAATAAATAAATTAATAGACATCATTGTAAAACCATAAGCTTCATTGCTCCCCTCGGAACCTAAAATAAACACCATTGAAAAACTAATACATTCATCGCTACACTCCGAATATGATAAAATGAGGGAGTTTGCTCTAATATTTTTGAGTGACTTTTGTTACGATTAACATATCGGTGTATTGGGTAGGTGATTTTTGAATTTCCCGAGTGGTTGGTTTTCATTATAATTTTAAAAAAAGGAAGGTTTACGGAATTAATGGTTTTATTATTTTCGATTTTGTTTTTTTTTTTGTTGTTGTTAAGCAGTTTAAAATAATCGTCGAGAACCGAAACAGAATAGTTATATTAGCTTCTTCTAGACGTGGTAAACTAAAGGTTTTCAAAATAGTCTGACGATTTTAGAGTTCCTTAATATTTTCGAGTTCTTAAGTTTTTATTTAGTAGATACCATGTCGATAAAATTGTTTGGGAAATGCTTGAAAATTTAATGCAAGGTTCATTTAAGTTGTAGTGTTAAAAAAAAATGTGCGTGTATTTTTTTTTTTTTTTTGTTATAAGCGTTCAAGTTCAAATTTTAACGAAAATTATAAAAATTACGTCATTTCAAGTCGGGTATTAAATCATATTTGCTCAGAATCGTTTTTCGTTAGCAATGATTTATCGTTGCGTACAGATATAAATTAAATAATTTTTCTTATTTTAAATGTTTATTAAAATTGCCTATACGTAACGCCTTAAAGACTGAAAATAAATATGCAGTCGACGGGTTTTAACGTTTGTGTCCGTATCGGTGGAAACTCCAGGCAAACGAGATCGACGGAGATTCAGTGGCGCGGAAAGTAATTTACACGATTATTAGGATATTAATGAAGTAGAGATTAATCGGTCACACCATAAGACACGATGGAATACATCGTAAAATAATCTACGGAAAAATTGAATGCAAAACAGGCAGAGGTCGTCCTCCGGCAATGCTCGGGCTGGATTAGCGAGTTATTGTAGACCTAAAGATGTCGGCTGGTAACATGGAAGAATATGGAAGGTTTCCATATGTATGTTTTTATATGTACGTGCGAAAAGCCGTAACACCAAACTTAGGGTGGATGACCGAAGAAAAGGGAATAAATGAAGTAATAGCTAACTATAGGCAATAACATTTCAAGTGTTGGAAAAAAAACACAGTAAAATATTCATAATATAATTTTGTTTTATCTACGGGTTGCGAGCGTGATAATGACGTGTCTGGGTATGAATAAACATAATTATTATTTCACCCGTCTCGATGGTTAAGTACGAGGTTACAAATGTTTGTCTTTCTAACGGGAAATGCGACTTTTAACTCGGAACAGTAATATAATTGAATTCGTACCTAAGCATATCTGTTGAATAATTAATAATTTCATTTTAAATTTTCGCGGGTCGAGTTTATTTGCGCGCTGTTTTGACTCTGAGAGGAATACTAAATTCAGTTTTACGTTCGCACCGAACTACACAGGATTGTATTGTATAGGTGTTAAAATGACGACGGACTTCGAAAGAACAATTAAGCCTATTTTAACCGTAGCGAAGCTGTGCGGTTTCATTAACATTGTTTACGTATTGGAACCGAACGGACTTTTGGCCCGAGACACGAGCACAATATATTATTCGTTTCTCGAAATTTCAAGAATGATCGTGTTGTTCATATGTGCTTACAAAAATTTCAACAACGAATTTAGAATCCCGCAAATATTGATAGCGTGTAAATTTTGGTTCGTCATTATTGCAGCGAGATTATCAGAAATATGGATAGTTAAGTATGTATAAATTAGAATTTTAGACCCCGGAACCACATAAAATCCATAAATGGATTAATCCCGAAATCAGCTCCGCGCAATACCATTTGCTTCGTATGTATTCGTGCGAAGCAGGATGTTTGAATGCAACTCAATCCGGGTTACCGATATTTTCTTTCATTGTCCAGCACGTCGTACGTATCAACTACTGCCGTATCAATTTAGGCCGACTTTCCATTAACCAGTCCAATCGATCAGTGGTGCAACAAAACCGCCAACTTTGGGGGTTGCTCATGTTATGGACACATCAAAGACCCACGGGTACTATGCTCCCACAATCCCCGTTACACAACTCATACATTAAGCAATTACACATCTCGTTTACAATTTCGTGTACACAAATTTAACACAAACTATTTTAACATTATTTTTCGTACACTCATGCATATAGGTACGTGGATAAAATATTAAGCCTTTACTATGAAGAAGCTCATTGGGTTTTTCAGGGCGGGTAGCTAATTTTAATCTTAGAAATGCTTAAGACTCCCCTAGAGTCTTTAAGCTTATGAGTGAGTCCCTGGGATGCGGACCCCATCTCTCCCAGCGAGCTATATAAATTGTAGGTATTGCATTCGATTTTTCTTTGATTGAATTGTCATTTAAACAAGTATGGACCGCCCCCCCCCCTTATTGAAAAAATCCTGTAGACTGCGTCGCTGCTATCGATATATTATAAGAAGGCGATACGCACACGTTTGTTGTTTCTGTCTTATAAACGGCTTGCATAGCAAATTATTTGGGTACAGCATTACCGATTTCTTTGAATTCAGCGTGAGTGTACACGAGTGCGGTCAAACCATTTTTAAACATTTAATTTTAGTTTTTTTTTGGTTGAAAATTAAAAACTAAAATTCAAAAAAGCGGTTTTAACGATCTCTGTATACTTCCTGCTGAATTCATCATATCCGTTTTCAGAATTCTTATCGCTTCACTGTATCGATCGGCGACTGATTTAAGAAGAATAATATGGTTAAAATTGACGCGGTGCGTGTGCAGGGATGGTGAAATAGGGGAAGTGGGTTGGGGTACTTCCATGATTTTCCCATTCAACGGGCTGCACGATATGATTATCAGGCGTTTAAGCGTAACAAACGATTTGTGTGTTTATATGAAAGGTTTATTAATGGCATCATAGAGTACGACAGGAAACTCACGGTACTGCCAAAAGTGTGGATGGAACAACACCAACGGTGTATAAGTAAGAGATACTGGAACGCGTTTCTCGTGGTTTTGTTCGCGTATTACGTTTCATTTCAAATATATTACACGTACTTGTGGCCGCCGAAGACGATAGACTTTTCTATACTCACCATTATTCTTTTTCAACCGCCGTTCATCATAGACTTTGCGGTCATCGTCATATCGTGTTTCTACATCGTTAATTTGGAGCGCAGATTCGATATGCTGAACAGTGTGTGGCAACGTCTGTCGACCGGACTGGTCGCCGTTCCCGGCAGCTATACGTATTCCGAAATCGCCGTGCTGGTGGAAAACATACGGTTGTTACACGCAGAACTGTGCGAGCTGTTGAGAATATTCAGCTCGGGTTTCGGCCAAGTGTTGTTGGCGTATTTCGTAATAAGCTACGTCAACATGGTGTTCCAATTTTTCCTGATGATCAGCCTTAAGTTTGCGACGCCGCGATTCAATATTACCGAAAACATAATCAGGAGCTTACTACCGTACGTTATGAACTTGCAACACATAGTGTTCGTCATGTTCATTATTGTCGCCGCTTCGCGTATAATTGAAAAGGTAAGTGCTGCGCGATAATACTATGCCTACGTAAAATGTGGGCATGTCAATGCGACTAAGTTAAGTTAAATAAATAAAAAAAGTGTTCAGTCAAAAGTTGACAAAGTAAATTTGATACCGCTGACGGGTGTGTTACTGTTGTTGGAGGGAAATTAGGAAGGCAGGATGCAGAGAGTGATTTAATTTATATCTGTATGCGTTGATAAACTCCGTGTTGAATGTCAAATGCTTAAAATAATAGATGCAAAATGTCATTATGAGTAACAATTTTAGGTTTCTACAATTATTTTAAACAAAATAAAGAAAAAAAAAAAAAAAGGTCTCTTGTAGTTTTTCGATTGGAGCAATATTAATGGTAAAAAATTTTAACGCCGTAAATTTGTCATTTTTTATTTTACGTTTTTTTTCGATTGTTTCCAGTTATTATGAAAACTGCATTGAAAATTAAAAAATGAACAATTTCCATTGGCAATTGGAATTTAGATCCAAAATGCAACAATAAAGTTCTCTTGTAATTTTTCGATAGGAGCAAGATTTTTGGTAGTCAAATTGCTCTAGTGAAAATACAAAACGATGTTAACTCGGTATTTTTTTTATTTTACAATAATCTAAATCAAACCAACACTGTACATTGTAATACCTACATAAATGGGGAGCACGTAAAAACTTGGACCATAAAAATCTGGACGGTACAAATTTGGATAGTATAAATATGGAATTTAATATTTAAAAAACTGGTGCAGTCACTGTCATAGTTAAGAAGTAGAAAATGTAGGATACATAAAGTTAATTAATTTATATCTGTATGCTAATAAACCGTTTTTAACGAAAAACGATTCAGAGCGAAGTTCGTTAAGACATAGTTTGAAATGCCATATTTTAGTTTTGGTTGTATTATATATTAAAAAACTAAAGTTTGATTGAAATCATAAAAGTTACAGCATTTAAAAATATGTCTTACCGAACTTCGCTCTGAATCTTCTTTTCGTTAGCGACTGTTTATCGAATATCGGCACTTTTTTTTAAATATTAAATTTCATATTCATACCGTCTAGATTCGCGCCGTCCAGATTTTTACGGATTTCAAAATTGTATATTCCAGATTTGTACTGTCCAAGTTTTTACATACCAGGTTTTTACGTGGACCCCATATTACATTACCGAGAACAGCCAATGAAAATTGAATTTGGAAAAATCATTAGTCTCCAACATAATTGTTAACATAATTGATTGTTTGGGTATTCATGAATATTAACTGTAAAACGTTATGTTTGTACACTTGAATGTTAAACTATTTGAATTATTTAGTTAAAAATAATTATCTAGTTAAGTTGAAGGTTTTAAAAAATTAACTTTGCTCCCCATTCCTTACAATTTGTTATAAAAGCACATCGATTCCATGACTATACATTGAATGTAGACATCTTACTAGGTAGTTATATAATTTCATTATTATTATTTAAGAACATTAGAGTTTTTTTTTTGTTCGTATTAATATGTAACACGCTTTTTATTATATAAATCGTTGAATGCAGAAAGGATACATGTTGTAACATATAACATTTTTAGAAAAGACATAAAAACTTATCCATTCCTGAATAAAATTGAAAAATATATTTCATGTTAATAACTAATATTACAGTGTTTGATACAATCAACTACAGGTTTCTACAGTTATTGTAATATTATGAATTATAAATTTTATAACTCTTAAGTTTAAGGATTCTCAAAGGGTCTTTGGTATTTCTTAAACGAATTTCAAAATTTGAACATGTACCCTTCTGCATTTAACGATTACAATACCTAAAAAAGTTGATACGTACATTATGAAAACGTAGCAAAAAAATAACAAAAATTGTGCATAGAATATCATATTTTTACAGAAAAAGAAGATGATATCATATTTACGGCTAAACAAGATTTCAGATTTGCCCGTAGACCTAAAATTACAAGTAAATATTTTATTTAAAGTCTATTTTATCACAAATCGATTTTACTTTTAAATTAATAAAATATCAAAGTAAAAACAAAATTATTAAATGGTTAATACCCGTAAAGAAGTATATAAATAAATAAATGAATAAATGAATGCGTCGCCTGGATTATTATGAGGTCATATGTGTATTGTACGACCGGTTTCGAATTAAAAACGCATTGTCAGGTAAAATCACAAAGTCAAAAAGTAAAACGCGACTGAACATGAAAAAATAAATTAAGGAATACAAAGAGAAAATATTATACAAATTGGTCGTTTTACATAGAAATAATTTATTTTAATAGGAAAGATTATTTTAAATTAGTTATTATTAGACATAGATATGTCAAGAAATATAAATTATTTGGTTATTACTTCTTGTCTAAAATGTATTGATTTATAGTTAATTTTTTTTTTATGAATTTCATTAGTGTAAATGATAACAATAGCATTAGATTTATTTACTGGAACTATTTCTAAATTATTTTGTTTTCAATTTATTCATTACGTTGTTAATTGTTTTTGGTCGTTTTTACTATTGTGCTTTAATATTTTATTAGGTTTATTTTTGTAGTTTTTATTGGTGCTGTTTATTATGTTGTAACATGTTTGACTTTGTTTTTTAAATTGTATATAATTCATAACAGATTCACATTGTATTAATTGATTGAAAGTTTAATGTTTGATATGTATTGAATTTATTACCTTTCTTTTATAAATTGTCTTCAGTTTTATTTAAAATTATGATGGTAAATTTTTAATTAGAAACCAGTCGTAGAATATACTTATCATACTCTAGGCAACGCATTGATTTATTTAAATATTTCTTTTAAATCAATTGGATAATATTCGTTTACGAATAACCGTACAATATTAAGTAGGTAGCTATTCCTACATAATATATTATTATTGTAATTTCCAAAAGATTTTTCGATAATTAAAGTTTAGACGTTTAAGACTCGGAAAAATCAAAGTATATAGGGAAACTGCGAGACCTAAAAGAAATGAGCGTTCCTTTGCATGAATTTATTTTCCTTTGAATTCCACTTGTTCCGCGAGGAGTCTGTCCCCACACCCCCTTTCACTAAAACGTATTTTTTTTTCTAACATTACTTATTCATTTAGGTTAAGCAATTTATGAATCAAATATTGATTTACGAATCGGACGAAATGACCGCTTTTGGTTTTTTCAATATCGATTTGAATTTAGCCGTAACGGTGAGTATATATACATAATATTTATAGTATAACGATAGAGGTGCCTGTTTGAAACAAAATACATATTTTACTTAGTAACGGTATTTCTTTTATCAAGAATAGTTCTAGATTGGTAGGAACTTACGGGTTTTTTTCCCTCTCATAAACCAATACGTATCCGTATATTTCACCAATATATTTTCCTGGACAACATGGTGGTCATAACATTTCGGTGGTTGAGTTCTGGCAATTGCAGAGTTTTTCACTGTGATAGTTTCAAACTTAAAATCGATTAACGTTTTCGGTACACTAATGGTACTTCTAAATAATATAAAACCATAATTACCTAATGTATACAGAGTGATCCATTAAGCGTGCTCACCCCGTTTTTTCGGTTAAATTTTATGTGGCGGCACGGCGTTTTAATTTTGCAGCGCTCCACTACTCTCCTCCTTCCTAAACTTAAAAGTGTAATATCTCGTCGATGGGTTGATGGAAATCGAACATTTTAACGTTAAAATTTATTTAAACTAATAGAAAACTAATAAAACTCCATCTCATTTGAAAAACTAAAGTTGGAATCGTCGCAGGATACTCCCTATATCCTTACATCTATTCTCTTGAGAAAAATTTAAGCATTTGAAAATATCGGCTTTAACTAAACTTAGAAATTCCGAAAATTAAAATTTGATTATATTATGCAAAATTTAACCAAACAAATGGGATGAGCACGCTTAGTGAATCATCTTGTACATAATATATGGCGTACCTACGTTGATTGCTAATATTTTTATTTAAGTAAATATTTTTAAGTACGTACTTACCTACCTATTAGTTATATTGTGTACAGAGGAACCTCGATAAGTCGAAATTAAAGGGAAATTAAATTTTTTCGATTTATCAAAGTTTTAGGAAAAAAATTCGACTCAAGGAGTTTTTAATTATTATAAAGTATGTATGTACATAATATAACAATTACAGGGCATTTTTACAGTCACTACACCGTACACGCATAGCCGATCGATCGCAACCGACAATACCGAATGCAGTAACAATAAACCGACCGAAAAATACGATAATAAACACAAAAAATCGAACGAAAAATACGATGATAAACACAATAAACCGAATGAAGAATACGATAAAAAAACGCAATAAACGCGATTAGGTTAAATTATGGGACGCAAAGGCCGATTAGACAAATGACTATAAAAATTATCCGACATTATCCGTCTATATTCGGAACACAGAATGTTCGAGTTATCCATAGTATTTCTTTCGAGTAAACGACATTTATTTCGACTTATCAAGGTTCCACTGTGTTTAATAATAATATGTAGTACGTAGTACGTACTATCGGAAATGTAAAACTGTTACAAATATACATTTTATGTTAACTCGTGGGTATACTATATTATACATACTTATGAGTTATGAAAATTCTCTACACGCACCCGTTTGAAAAGCATACCACAAGTGATGTGAAAAATCCGGATTTGTCACACTTCGAGAATCGGGTAATAAAGAGACTTTTCCACTAATCTATTGTCAAATCGCATCCATTCGAGGAGTACAGCCGTGAAGAGGTTTTTTTTGTCTTAAAGTATCAATATTTTGCCACTTGAACCGGCTATTCTAGTTATTAGAAAGAACTTCCGAAAACATATTTTAATTCGTCATAAAGTTCAATTGAAATCGACTTTCTTACAATTTTCAATTAATTTTTGTTTGCTCAATATTGTTCACATTTTAAACATTTTAAATATCAATTTTTGAAGAGTTCGAGAGCTCAATTTCAAAAAAGTGGAAATGTCGTTTTCAAGTAAATTTCAAAACGAATTATTCAAATGTTTTCAAAAGTTATATCCGATTATTAGGACAGTCGATATAATTTGCATAATGTAGATTTATTTCGATAGAAAACATAGATGGTATCGAATCCTCTTGATACAAAATAAAGAAAATGAAAATAATAAAAAATAAACACATTTTAGATTAAAAAAAAAAAAAAAATATAAAAGAAAAAAAAACCGATACCCGAATAATTTGTAAATAAATGTAAATTACGTTGTTTGATACTCTTTTGGATTTTCGTAGAATCCGGATTTATGTCGTATCACTAGTAGGCACCAGTTATACAGGGTGATCAACATAACATAAGACACTCATTATCTCGGAATGTATTAACTATGGAACACTATTAAAACGCCAAGCGCCGTGCCGGCACACAAATGATACGCCGTTACTTTCCTACCGCCGAAACTATAGAAAATGAGATATCTCGTCAACAGGTTGACAGAAATCAAAAATGTCAATATCAAAATTGCGGTTTAAACTAATATTCCATTTATTTGTGACGTTTTTAATATAGGTTGCCGTTTGAGTATGCATGTAGTGGTTTCAAGTTTTCAACCCCTAAAATAAGAGTGACGAAAAAAAGTAACAGTTATGTAATATTTTAGAGCAACTGATTTCTTAAATGTTCTGAAAAAAAATTTCCGAAAAAGGTTAACACTTTCCGACATAATGAGTGTTCTACGTAATAATACAGTCGACCGGAAAACCGGTCTGTTTAGAAATCGCCTTGTTGATATTCGGCTTCATTACGATTAAAAAAATTAGTTATTTACATATTGTATTAAACAATTCGATTTTTTTCAGATACTAGTATTACTCATTACCGGATTATCGACTTTGATACAGATGAAAGAACATCCGATTATTTTGTATTTGGTCAATGATACTCTGTCGTACGTGGTGAATCTCATAGAGAATACCTATGGTGAAGATTGGGCTCAGGGCAGTCAGAATACAAATGAAACGATATAATAATTAATACACGTTTTAAATGTATAATTTACTCCAACAGCTGTCGACTAAAATTGTCTAAAATATATTGAAATCGGGTCTTTAAAATCGAATTTAAACAAAAAATAATTAATACCAACTATAGTTAAAAATTGCAATTATACATATTTTATAATAGTGTAGGTGGTACAGGTGATGTTTATTCCGCATAATACACTCATTATCACGGAAAGTATCGAGTTCTTTTTTGGCATGGAACTCCACGGAGTTTTTCGATTTTATACATCACTTTTTTTGTTCACCCCTTTGTTTGGCGGTGAAACACCACCATCGCTAACTTTTGATTTTAAAATGACAATTCATGTTAAAACAAGTTTTGGTTGAAATTAAAATTTTTAAACACATTGTTGGAAGTATCTAAGTAAATACAATAATATAGATTTCAAACATTTTTAGATTCTGAGTGGAACGAGAAATGTATTGGTTTTTCAAAGATGTTTATTATTGTTATTTTTTTTGTGGACAACTTTTCTACCAGCAATTTTGCGCCGATTTACAACGATAGCACTTTTTCTGGTAGGAAATCTGACTGGGTACTTTAATGAGGTCATTTTTCGATTTTTCCAAGAGTTTTCTCGATAAATGGGAAAAAACTTAGGAAAAACGGGAAATAGGTACAATATTAAACAAATATTATTGAAGAAAATATAAAATGCATATGCTATTATTGCTATTATTTTACCATAATATGAAATATATATTGTTGACAAAGGAATACTATCAACCGATCTCCGCTTAGAATCGTTTTTTCGTTAGCAATGGCTTATCTTTGCTTATAGATAATATACATTAAATTACTTGTAATAGCGACTGCACCCGTCCCCATTATCCTAGGATAGCTTTCTTTTTATTTTTTTGTACCTATTTGACGAACTTAATTAAAACGATTTTAAATAAAATATTATGATTATTATTACGAAATTAATATTTTAATTAATTTATATTATGTTTTAAACATTTTTTATAATATTATTTTGTTCTAAAATGATCAATAATAATATAGTCCAATAAATAATTTGTAATAACTTATATAAAATGCGATACGGCGCACGAATAAACATAATTATTTTACTTGTCTCGGTAATTTAATTTTGTCATATGAATATTTTATTTGCCAATTGGAAATTATAACTTTCAAAATGAACTATTTATAATTGAATTTTTTTTATCAGCGTGTTGAATAATTAATAACTTTAGTAATTCTGCGAGTTGTCTATACGGTGCACACCTTAGGTATTGACTTTGAGATGTATACGAATTTAGTTTTATTTTAGTATTAAATTATTGAAGTAGCCAAGTAGGTGTTAAAATGATTACGGGCTTTGACAGAACACTAAGGCCTATTTTAACCGTAACCAAGTTGTGTGGTTTCATTGACACATGTTACGTATCGAATGCGACCGGACTCTAGGTCCGAGACACGAGCACCATAAATTATTCGTTTGTCGAAATTTTAAGAATGTTATTTTTGTTGATATGAGCTTATAGAAATTTCAATAACGAATTTCGGTTCGTGCAACTATTAATATCGTTTAAATTTCGGGTCGTTCTTATTGTAGCGAGAATATCAGAAATATAGATAATAAAGTAAGTGTGAACTATATACGAATACTGATTACGCACATCTCTATGACAAACCACTGGACTTATTTAAAATGATAATATAATTTATAATTTAAGACATCAAATTAATTTTTATACTTCAGTATATTATTTACAGCCACAATGTTTGTTTACGATTTATAACGGTCTAAAATATTTATTTAATTATTATTATAATACCGGCTGAAGCCCAATTTGACATACAGTTCATAACAAAGTTACGGTTTATATATATGTAAAGGCGGCTGGGAATCGGGCCACATGTTATCTTCTTGTTTCGAAAACAATATTTTGTAAATTTTATAACCCTGGTATTGGGCCAAAAATAAAAGTTATATTTTTAAAGGGTACCCGGAGATTGGACCACAAATGTAGAACACAAAAATATATAATTTTAAATATGTTAAAATACATAATATTTAATTAGTCAGATAATTATTAATTTTTTTTAAAAATAATATGATATAGATTACTTTGCACAGTATTCAAAATCGCTTTCATTATAATTCGATTATAACGACCATAAGAAATTTAAATTTGTAATCATGGAAAAAATAATAATATGGTTTAAAATAGTGGTGTTAAATAGAGGTTTACCTTTTATCAAATCTAAGTGTATTAAAATATAGTGGCTCAAACACCGGATTCAATAATAAAAAATCGTTTAAAATAGTGGCCCAATCACTGGGTCTACATGCTATAAATGTAAAATTTTAGTGGCCCAATTACCGTATATTTTTTTGGAAAAAGGTTCATCGTGGTCGAATTCCCGGACGCCCGTGTATAAAACTCAGTGGCAGAACTCAGTAGAGTATTATAAATATAATAAACATAATCAAGATAATTAGACTTTTTGTAAAATGACATAGAGTGACATCTATGTTGTACAAGAAAATCATCTTTACTGATTTACATCATCATCTCTTACTGTTTCTACTATTCACTCCATTAAGCTCAACATTCACCGAGGGATCATGACTGCATTTTTTTCTCCTAACAAAAGCTTAAAAATGTTTTGGGTCGGAACATAGGGCATTTTCGGTCGATTTAATAAATGTTCTGCAGCGGGCCTTAGATTTGAACTTGTATTTAAAACGGAGAAATGAGAACTTTTTTTATTCTTTAGATTTACCAGTTGCTTTAAAAACCGCGTGAGCTCTTTATTTTTAATGAACTATGTTAATAATTTCCTTAGTATACCATGCTGGGAAATTAGAGCGTGTAAATGTCATATAAGGCACATGGTTTAGAACTAACCAAGGTGTGTAGAATGTGAGAGCCGAGTTTAAATAGGACGATTTTGTGATTTTTAACTAATAGACAAATAATAGGAATTTAGAAATACATGAATTACCTTTGCGGACGTTGTAGTACGAATGACACTCATTGAATTGTGGATATTTAATTGAGGAGTTAAAACAAATGGAGAAGGAGGGACGATATAGTGATCGTCCGTTCAGCAGGCGTGTTGGAAACATTAATACTAATGCGCTTATCACTAACAAACACGAGGTCAATTAAGGATTAAAAATAGTTGAAAACATTATTAGTTTGAAAAAAGTTGTGTAACGCGATAGTTTCGGGAACAGAGTAGTTTGTATTTACTGAAGTATTAGTTGAGGAATAATGAAAACCGCAATCTTCATTTGAGCAAATAAAGCTGGGAAGATTAAAAAATGCATGAAAAATGAAAGTATGGTCTGAGTAAGAGGGAAGTAAATCGTCAACTGTTCTTGTGAACATTTCTTACGATGAAAATATTGAGAATTTGAGAAAACAATGTTTTCAAAATTATATCGTTAAAAGACATAGACCGTATACTTGATTATATGGAGAAAGTACTGATTTTTATATGAATAAGTTTTACCTTAATTGCTACAAACAGAATACCCGAAAATTACAAAATAATAATCAAGCGGTCTTACTTAAACGTTGTGTAATTCAATTATTGTTTAAAGGTTTGTTAACGGCACCACGGAATACGACAGAAAACTAGCGCTAATCCCAAAAATGTGAACGGAGCAGCGGTCTATGAGCAAACATTTCTGGCACATACGAGTATTTCTGGTGTCTTTATTCGTGTATTATGTGGCGTTTCAAGTATATTTCTTGTACTTGCGGCCACCGATAAGCGTAGGCGTACTCGTAATCAATATTATTTTTCATTCGCCGTGCGTCGTAGACTTTGCGGTCATAATCTTATGCCGTTTCTTCCGTCTTGTAAACGCGGAGCGAAGATTTCAAACGTTGAACAGTGTCTGTGTACGTATGCCGACCGGTTCGGTCGCCGTTCCCGGCAGCCGTACGTATTCCGAAATCGCCGGGCCGGTGGAAACCGTACGGTTGTGACACGCAGACCTGTGCGAGCTGTTGAGAATATTCAGCTCGGGTTTCGGCCAAGTGTTGTTGGCGTATTTCGTGATTATCTACGTCAACACGCTCTACCGATTTTCCATGTCGGTCAGTCGAAAAGTACTGTCGTCACGATTTAATCATGTCGATAGTGCAATGAAGAGTTTACTGACATACGTTTTGAACTTGCGACACGTAATGTTTTTCATGTTCATTATCGTCACTGCTTCAGTACGATTTAAAAGGTAAGGTATTCGCGATACGCGTACATTCTTTAATAACACATTGGCTCCCAAATTTTTTTTGGTTTTAACGATACATCGAGCGGGAATCGTGTTTAGGAACTCTTTAGGAACTTTAAAAACTGTTTATTATTCAATTCCCGCGAGTTACTTTGTGCAAATACCGTGTACAGCGTAAATAACCTCTTTTAAAATTTCTGTTGAATTCCCGGAGGGGATCTTTCCGGAGAGAATATTCGAATTCCGCGGGGAAACTAATAGAAATTCCTTGGAAAATTATCTTTATATATAATAGTTATATAAAGCATGCGGTAGGTGCTGCAGATGAAGAATCATTTTGTAAAATAAAAAGTTTAATTTAAATATCGAAATGCGAGACCGCTTAAAAAGTGGAACGTGGTTTTATAAATCGAGAGAATTCTTCCTAATATACGGGACGTCTGGTCACACGCTAACTATTGATCTCTTGTTATTAACAAATTGAGTACCTATGTGTATGAGAACCGAGAATGATTTTGTAATAAAATAAATATTTAAAATTGTATATAATATAGGTACATTACAAACATTTAATAAAAAACATATTTTTACAGAAAAGAAAATGATATTACATTTACGAATGTACACGATTTTAGATTTACCCATAGACCTAAAATTACAAGTAAAATATTTATTTAAGGACTATCATTTATTGTTTTTATGAATCAATACAATTTTTTTTTAATGATTAGATGACTGTAACGTAAGTATAGTTATACTATCGTT